ATCAGAGTCACCTCTGGGCTGAGCTCTGTCCAGGATTCTATGGTGACATCACCTTGAACTTGCTCTCTGCTCTCGGTCTCTGCCACCATCCACTTCTCCAACAAAACTGTCACCTTCAGCATGAGTAATCTCCAGTCCTAACATAACGGTTTTTAAAACATGCTCTTTAGTTTTGACCCTTACAACTAACAACACAACCTTACTCCGATATTTGACCTCTTTACGTCTTAGCTCCCCGTAGTTGACAGCAATCCTGTGGATTGCTTTTAAAATGAGAGAAATTGATTTCCGAAGGACCTATAATACAGTAAAGGCTCTGTAAATATTAGACATTCCCAAGCTGAAAACAAATGGGGGGATTAAATCTCCCTTCCCTTTTACTGGTCTGGCTGTCACAGTGTCCTGGTCATTTTGCATCTGAATGTCACTCTGCTCCTACACCCTACTTCAAGCTGGGATAGTGCAGCACCCATTAGTCTCCATGTACCCAGTTTTCAGTTTCTAAAAGAGATTTGATCCTGTCCTAGGAGAACATAAAAAATGCAGGTAGTCCTTGTTGCCCAATAATTTCTGATAATCTCTGTGTGTGTGTGTGTTTCAGGTGAGCCCTGAAAAACTAATCCCTCCCCCAAAAGGGGAGACCTCGGTCTGATTCAACTGGGTGCTTTCCAGGTGACTTGCCTGGTGTGGTCCCTCAGTGACATTGTGGATAAAATATATTTTCACATGGTTAGATCATCATGAACAATACTTCTTGTCCTTTGAGACCCGGTCTGAAGGTCACTTTTTTCCATCAATCAAATCGTCCTTCATTATATCACTGACCTTCAGCATAGCCCTGTCAGGAGACGGGACATCTGTCATGTAAATAAGTTTTCTGTGGCCTCAGAGCTGAGAACAAAGGCCTTGAATCCACGTTGTCTGCCCAGTCCTCACTCTACACTTGTCTTTCCTGCTTCCTGAAGTGGGTAGCATTTTGTGTGACTCCATGGCAAATCTGTCTCCCCAAGGAGGGACTGAGGAACCATTAGGACACCGGAAAGATGTCCCAGTGGTTTCTTTCCACGTCTGGGGAAGGGTTGTATGCCCTTTGTTTTGATTTCTCTCTGGAGAGCTAAACTGCCCTGAGAGTCTAGGGTGGGTTCTGAGAAAACAGGGTGCCACTGTTAGCTCTGGACTTTGCTTATGTAGCCACGCCCTCCACTAAAGCTATTCTCCAAGCTCTGTGGACATCTGCCGGGAAGACTGCAGTGGCAGAATCTAGATCCATCCGTAGTGACTGAGCTGTGCAGGAAATCAGGTGGGGATCCATCCAGTAGTGCTGAGTGTCCTAATATAATGCCTAACTCAGAAGAGCAAGCATCGTTTGTCCTGTGTCTGCGGTTGTCGAAAGCGGTGTTTGTACAATTTCCAACGGGAAATCCTACTGACTGCATTGGGACAGAGGACTGAGGTAACGTAGATGCCATCTTCAGTGGCTCTTGTTTGTTCTTAAAATACTCTCCAAACCCTATCTACAAGAGAGTATTTCTGGCTGGTGCGGTGATGGCACGCGCCTTTAATCCCAGCACTTGGGAAGCAGAGCCAGGCGGATCTCTGTGAGTTCGAGGCCAGCCTGGTCTACAGAGTGAGTTCCAGGAAAGGCACCAAAGCTACACAGAGAAACCCTGTCCCAAAAAAGACGAAAAAAAAAAAGAGAGAGTATTTCTGTAAAAGACCTTCTAGACAGCCTGCTCCCCATCTCCAGGTAGGACCCACTCCACACTGTGGCCAACATTATTGTCTTCAAAACACATCTTGAGTATGACCCTCTACTTCTTCATACATCTGGTAGTCATTGATTCCTAGATTAAAGTTCTTATGCTTCACCCTGGAGAGTCTAATTCTCTGGCCTCATTTCATCCCTCACTGCAACTGTACCCTGTAGTCTTATATTTTAAATGTAAAATGTCTCCCACAGATTCACATGTCTGAACACTAGGTCTCCAGCTGGTTGTAATGGTCTGGGAGGCTTTTGAATCTTTGTGAGTTGGAACCTAGATGGAGGAAGTGGGTCATTGGGGAATGGGCTTGGAGGCTGCCACTTCCAGCCCATGCTCTCTACTTCCCGGTTGACACCACAAACAAGCAGCAGCCGTACACTTCCCTGCCATGAACTCCACCATGCCTTCCCCACCATGGTAAACTGTACCCTCTGAGACCATGAGCTGAAATCAGTTCTGCCCCCTTTCGGTTGCCTCTGCCGGGTGATCCACCTCATTCTATGCACTGCATTGTTGGTTCCTTCTGTGCCTTTGTGTGAATGTCCCCTCTACTTGAGATGAGTCCAGGGTTAGCCAGACTGGACCAAAGCTTGTAGCGAGAGGGGACTGTGAGCTATCTCTAGGGCTGATCAACTTTTCTGTCTTAGTTATATTTTATTGCTGTGATCAAACACCATGACCAAGGCACCTTTAGAAGAGAGCATTAAGGGCTTACAGTTCTGGAGGAATAAGAGTCCATGATGGCAGAGCATGGCATCAGGCACAGCTGAGAGCTAACACCTCAAACTTTGAGCGAGAGGCAGAGAATACATTGGGAATGGTACAAGTCTTTGGAAACCTCAGCGCTCACCTGAAGTGACATACTTCCTCCAACAAGGACATGCTTCCTTACCCTCCTCAAATAGTCACCAACGGGGTGCCAAATATTCAGATGTCTGAGACTGATGGGGGACATCTCATTCACACCACCACACTGTGTGTCTTACCCATCCATAATCATCAATTTAGTTAGACTCTTGGCTTTGGTGGAGTAGGATCTATTATCTTTTTAAAAAAAAGTTTATTTTCATTTTATGTGTATAAGTGTTTACCTACATGTATATCTGTGAACCACATGTCCATGGAGGCCAGAAGAGGACATCAGATCCCCTGGAACTGATGTTACAGATAGCTGTGAGCTATCTGTAATGGAAACCAAACCCTGGGCCTCTTCCAGAGCAGCCAGTGTTCTTAACCAGGGAGCCATCTTTCCATCCCCACAGTTTCTGTCTTCTAGAAACCCTGATATTGGTAGTATTGCCTTGTTTCAAAGCAAGGGAGAATGCAAGACAGTTAGGGTGTGGCTATCATTTTCCTTCCTTTCCTGCTAAAATGTTCAGGGAGTGAAGGCAAGACATTTTTAAGGGGGAAGAAAGACATAGCATACATGACGTTTTGAAAGGCTAATTGGATATGGATGGACATATTGAGATGATGTCTGTTATTGTCAGAAATAATGTTTTACAGAGAAGCGATTTGTGGAGAGACCAGTGATTACTGATGGACTAATGTGCGCTCGGGAATATGGAAGCAATAAGGCAGAAGTACAGTGCCTGCAGAAAGATGTCAGTCAAAGTAGAGGAACAAAACTAAACGCCTCTGATGTGAGATCTGACCCCACCTACAGGATTCGACCCATAGGACCCACGTGGGTATACCCACAGTTATTTAATGCAATCAGAAGTGAACTTGGAGGGGTCTGCTGACCACTCTGCCCCTGAGATATGGTCTCATGTTTGCTATTAGGTTTGAGAATGAAAACAAGCTTGTGAGTCAGTGGACATATGTCTCAAGTTTTAGAATACCATTCTTATTTCATTTTCTGCAACCCCAGGACCGAATGCATAATCCTGTAATCCCAATATTTCATCATCCAAACTACATTCTGCTGGCTTCCATCTGCCCCTGGAGGAAATGTGACAGAATTCTCTGCTCAGACCATGAGTCCCAGTTTTGAATTCAGGAAACAGTATCATGAGCCCTGTGGAGCCAGCTTGGGCAATGGGAGAAAGATTCCAATCAAGATCATTCCGTTTTGTTGCAAAGCTTTATTTTTTTTAAATGCAAAACAAAATTGTCTTAACAGGAACATGAATGGGTGATGGGAAATAAAGATACAGCAGAAAAAAACTGAGTAATGAGATTTGGGGTGGGGGTGAGGTTCAGATTAGACAAGAGTTTCCATGAACGAGATTGACTGTCTGGCGAAGTCTCAGATAGAAGCTTGCCATGCTCTCTGGTGGTGTTTTAGCCATTGCGCTTCTGGGAAGTGCCTAGAGAACCAAGCAACCAGGCTCGTGCTCAGCTCTCCAGAACCACACTTACCAGTGGAGACAGAGCTCAAGCTCTGATTTCCCACGAAACTGGGCCAGCAAACAGCACTTTGGGGGGTTGCTCTGTCACGTGGTGGTAGGATCTGCAATGTAGAACAGACTTGGTGGCAAACCTCAGTTTTAAGTGGGGTATTTACTGTGGTTTCAGAGAGATTTAAGAAATTCCCAGCATGGGGTACTCATGACCCTCCTGTAGTCTGTGGGGCGCAGGCTGGGGGAGTGCAAAACAGTTTCACTGTTCAAATTATATAAATATCAAACCCTGCCTCCTTCCTAGTCACTTTCTTCTGATCAGTTACCTTGACCAAACGTACTATTGAATTGATCTGTCTTGTTTATTGTGTGGGTCTCCCAACCTACCCCTGAAGGGTATATTTCCTGACTAGCTGTAAAGGAAGGCTCTTGCCCAAGTAGGTGCTATGTGCATATCTGTTGAATGAAGGCATGTATAAACTTTTAAAAATGTGTGTGTATATACATGTGGGTATGTGGGCACGTGAAGGCCAGAGGTCGTCATTGGTTATTTTCCTCTATGGCTCTCCATCATACTCTTTGAGTCTCTACAGAAACTGTCTCTCACTGATTGGCTAGACTAGGACACCCCCAGGAGTACCCTGCCTCTGCCTTCCAGTGTTGGGATTCTAGGCATTCACTGCCACGCCTGGATTTTTACGTGGGTACTGGGCTCCAAATTCATGCTCCCACAGCAAGCACTTTGCCACGCTGAGCCATTTCCTAAGCCCCAGGAGCAAGGGCAGGAGGAAGGTCGGTCTGAGGCCCATCAGTAGATCTCCTGATCCTTTCTCACTCCTTCCTCCCAGATGTTGCTGATCCGTTCTACAACACCTTTTCTGTCTCTTTGCAGAACATTGGCTGTGACGACTTCCTGGGCTCCGACAAAGTTGTGGACAAGTGTGGGGTGTGTGGAGGTGATAACACAGGCTGCCAGGTGGTGTCAGGAGTGTTCAAGCACGCCCTCACCAGCCTGGGCTACCACCGAGTTGTAGAGATCCCCCAAGGAGCCACGAAAATTAACATTACAGAAATGCACAAGAGCAACAACTATTTGGGTGAGTTCATTCATCTTTTTCACACACACATAAGAGACATGTCACTGCTGTTGATGAATTCTTTCCAGGATGGTAAGGTGAACACTGTGGTGGCCAGACATCCTGGAACATACAGAAAGTGCCATTGGGGTCTTCCTGACCTGCCCTTTGGAATAGTGTGTGTGTGTGTGTGTGTGTGTGTGTGTGTGTGTGTGTGTGTGTGTGTGTGTGTGTGGCAGGGGAGGTCCTTCCATGAACTAAGGGTTAATGACTATACATTTACACTGGGCTTTACTCAAGAAAGACGCAGGCATGAAATGGACAACAGACTCTTGAGCTGGGAGGGTTTTTTTGTCCAGAAGGGAGATCTACTAGCCTTCATTCTCTTGGGGTCTAGGGGACAGAGCCTGCTGGTGATTTCCTCCCAGACTTTTGCTCCCTGGAGGTCCAAAGCAAAGACAATCCCTGCCTTCTCTCTGTTTCATCTGCCTGGGGCAGCAGGCCCCTGCGGGTCTTTTGACTGCTGCAGAACCTCAGCAGTCATCTCAGCCAACATCATCTGTATTGGACCCATTTTCCTGCAAGCGAGAGCCTTGCTGGTGCATTCTTCGGGACATACCTTCTGCTGTGCAGTAGTCATGGAACAATTGTTTACCAGTTTCTAGTTCAGATAAGCATGTGCACATCAGTTAAGCAGATATTAGAGGGGCAAGTGTTTTGTTTTTTGAGACAGGGTCTTGATCTGTATCCTAGGCTGGCTTGGAAATCATAATATAATCCAGGCTGGCCTTCCTCCTACATGCTGGGATTATAGTCATAAGCCACCAAGCCTGGCCTAGGGTGTCATGTCTTTGAGACATTTAATGAGCAGCAATAGACATTTTGTTTTTAATTATTTATTGAGCAGGAGCCTGTCTGGAACAAATCATGTGCCAGGCAATATACTTATGGCTTTTTCTGTATAAAATCCTAGAACATTCTAAAGAGCCTAGAGCCTACAAGCTATTCCCAGCCTCAGTTTACTGAGGCTTGCCATAGTCATATAGGAAGGAAAAAGCAGAGCTGGGATTCAACCAAGGGAGGGGCGCTCTAGGAATAGAAACTTAACATGAGTTTCCTCTACTATACCACTGGTCATGTGGCAGTCAGTGTCCACCAGTTTTTTGAAATACCATTCATTTTGTTGTTGTTGTTGGTGGTGGTGGTGGTGGTGGTGGTGGTGGTGGTGGTGGTGGTGGTGGTGGTGGTATGTACATGATTACACATACCTGTGAAGGCCAGAGGCCAACCCCAGGAATCATTCCTCAGGAGCCAGCCACCTTGCTTTTGAGCTCCCTAGCCTGGAGCTTGCTGAGTAAGCCAGACTGATGGGCTAGTAAGCCTTGAGAATCTGCCTGCTTCCATGTCCTCAGCACTGGGGTTACGTGCATGAGCCATTGCACCCATTTTTTGTGTGGGTTCTAAGAATCAAACTCAGGTCCTAATGTTTGCACACTTCACTGGCTGAGCCATCTCTCCGGCAATGACTTCACACCTGCCCCTTCCCTTCCTCCTCAAATGCAGCCCAAACTACCTTCGCTGGGTTTGATTGTCTGGGGGAAGACAAGGATGGCAGATGGGTCTCTGAGACAGTCCCAAGTACAGCAGGAAACTGTTACATCTTCTCTGGAAAATCCAGGAGCCACCAAAGTGGCAGAAAGCTAAGTTCCCCTGTGAGCAGTTTGTGTGATTTTAAATCTTAAATAATGATCTCTGTGTGTCTGCCTTTCTCTGGTGCCTTTACAAGATCACATCTCCACACACATCCTGCCTCCTGCAGTGGAAAATGTTCCTCGGGGTTATTTGAAGCGTGATTGTGTTTAAACACGCTGGCAAACAATGCCAGTTTTTATTAGCTTTATGTTGTTTTTAATAAATGCCCTCGCTATCACCGGTCCCATTTTGTAATCAGTTTCAGGCTCCTTAAAGGTACAGTGGATATTCTGTGTGAACATCCACAGGAAATCTGAGTGGAAACAGCCCAGAGCCTTACTCTTTCCATCCAGAGTATGGGATTCTGTCGTAAGACTCAACAGGAGCACAGATGTATTAAGGAAGGTGATTGACAAGTGTCTTCTGCCTTCCTTTTGTCTCAGAGAGTTCACCAGGGGATAAACTTAATGGGATATAGTGGGGAGGTGACTGGGTGGATAAAATATTTACTGCATTCTCATAGGTCCTGGAGTTCAGATCCCCAAGACCCATGCCAAGTAGGCATGTTGTCCTAGCTCTATAATCCAACTAAGCCCCAGCACTCATTCAGGAGGCAGAGGCGTGAGTCCTGGAGCAAGCTAACTAGACTCGCCACTCAATGAGCTCCAACATCCAAGTTCAAGAGGAGACCCTCCCTCAGCAAATAAAAGTATAAGCTGATGGAGAGGGCTGCCCAGTGTCAAACACTATTGCCGATGTGCACACGGCCCTATATATGTGAACATGCATACAGATGTATATACGCACAAAAATGTGGGATAGAAATCTCCACCTCCCATAAGAGGGATGAAGAGGAAGCAGGGGGAGGATCGAAGTACCCAGAGTCAATGGGAGAGTGACTCAGGAAGTCAGTGTTGACTCCCTGTGCCCAGACACCAGTGGATTCATGAGAAAGGCACCATCTGTAACAGCGTTACATGATGGCGGATCACCAAGGAGAGGGGAACAGAAGCAGGCTCTGAGGAAGGCGACTCCAGGAGTGAGGAACAGAAGCTTCCAACTATAGCATTTATGTCACCTGGAATGATCTAGATTTTCCATCCATTCTTAAAACTCAGGGTACAATTTCCATACCATAAAGCTCACCCCTTTTAACAGTACAGTGGTTGGGGTGGTCTTTTTCTCATCTCGGGCCTTCTTTACTTGACTCACCTCAACTTCTCAGCCCCTCTTCTATGTTCAACGCTGTTTGCCTGAGATTGCTTCACACAGAGCCATTAGCACACAGGCACAGCCGCCATTTCTAAACTCCGAGGCCAGTTATGGCCATTCATTAACCGTTGTCGGACCTTGAAATGCTTAGAGCCATGCATCCCCTGCTGCACCTGTCTCAAGAAGCCTGGGGTGGGGGCAATGAGATGGCTCCGCAGATAAAGTCCTTGCCTGATGACCTGGATTGGACCCCATGACCCATATAATGGAAAGAGAGAATCAGTTCCCTCAAGTTGCCCTCTGACCCCCACACATGCACTATGGCGTATGTTTTGCCTGTGTGTTTATCTGCACACCACTGGCACACCTGGAGATGTCTGGTGCCCAAGGAGGCCAGAAGAGGACATTGTATCCTAAACAGGTATGAACCACAGTGTGGTCACTGTGACTCAAACCCAGGTCCTGAAAAGCAGTCAGTGCTCTTAACCACTGAGTCATCTTTCCAGCCCATAATTAATTTTTTAATTCCTTTTAAAAAAAAGATGTTATAGTTACTAAAGGTACAATTTTAGAATTAGAGTATGAAAATTGAACAACAAAATTTTTGAGATAAGATCTCATTATAGAATCCAGAGTGACCTCAGACTTGAAATCCTTCTGCTTCGGCCCCCAAGTGCTGGGGTTAAAAGCATGTAACACCATTTCCAACTCTGGAAATTAAAATTTTTTTAAACAAAAACTAAATAGAAGAGGGAGGCGTGTGTACCAACCATCAGTAACACTGGTGCATTAAACCTAACTCTGAGTTTAGCCAACATGCCTGGCCTGCTGGCCCCTGGCCTGCTGCCTGCTGGCCCTTGCCTTTCCATGGCCCATGGGAGGGCTGGCTCCACGCAGCTTGGGGAGCACACCACCTCCACCTCACCATGCTCCTGTTTCCTTCAGGGAGCAGCACTAAAGAACTAGGACATTTAATGGCACACACATATGAGAAACGACTCGTGTTCATCTCATTTCAGGTTGTGAAACTGAGGGCACTCCAGGAGTGAGCTCCATTTTTTTATTAAAATCATACAGTCAAAATTATGTATGACCTTCAAAGCTTAGCCTGTTTAGTCAGAGCTAGATTTTAAGATTTTAGAACTGCTATCTGTTGTTAAGTTATGACTTCTCCTTATTCTCAGACTTGCTATTTGGAGGAAAAACATTGACTCTAATATTATTAAAATGACTGGCAGTTTGTCTTACTTCTCCCTTAATGAGATGCTGTAAAATTATTTTAGCTGAAATATCGAAGTTTAGCGCAGGTGAGTCAGTTCAGTTTACTGATGTCGTTATGCAGCAGTTCAGATATCAGACATGACAGCGCAGCAGGCAGAGAGTGGCCTTTGGGGACATGTTCTACCTGCCAGCGACTTACACCGTTGATGGGCTGTGGACTTGGAAGGAGTTCTTGGAGATCTGTAAGATCTTAAAAACAAATTGGCAATACAGTTCCCTTGAATCATGTTCTCATGAAAGTTTAAAATAATGATAACTGGGGCTGGAGAGATGGCTCAGCAGTTAAAAGAGCTGGCTGCTCTTGCAGAGGACCGGGGTCCAGTTCCCAGCACCCATATGGTGGCTCACAGCCATTCATAACTCCAATTCCAGGGGATCCAGCGCCCTCTTCTGGGCACTGTGGGTGCAAGGTATATGCTCAATACACTTTCATACGTGTAGGCAAACTCTCATATACATAAAATAAAAATGCATAAATCTTTAAAATAGTAATGGGCAGCACCTAACATCTCAAGAACCATCATGGGGCATCTGCAGACTTTATTAGGTGAGCAACTTTGTATATGGGAAGACTTAGAATGTTTGAAAGAATGTGACATCTTGGGCTGGTGAGATGGTTCGGCAATTAAGAGCACTTACTGCTCTTGTAAAAAACCTGAGTTCAGTTCCCAGGTCCCACGGCTCACAACTACCTGTAACTCCAGCTCTAAGGGAACCTGTACCTGAACTCACATGTATATATTCCCACACATATACATAATTAAAAATAGTTTGAAAATCAATCTTTAAAAAATGTGATGTGTTATGCTTACATGACAATTAATCCCAAGAACTTT